TGTTAGACAGCTATGAAACTTATGAGGCATGAAAGAAGAGTAGGCCCACCTCCCGCAATCATCAGGCTGGAAACCAGGTGATAGGAGTCATGTTACTGAAGACAAGAACAGCAGCGTCCTGAGGAGTCTGTTACTGAATGTAAATGGTTGCTTTCAGTTGCTTGGGCTTATAACCCACATTCCCTATCCTATCTATTGTGCCATCTCCGTGACCCTTAGTCTAGCATCCTCTCTAAATTGGATATGACATCGAGAGTTTATTCACGTTCTTCACAAATATGAACCTCCTTTTTCTTAATTTACTCTTTCTTTGAGTCAGCTGCATTTTAGTCTTTTGACTTTCAAACCAAAAATCCCTTTCTTGTAAGTCTTGTTGGTGTTTAATGTGGTCTGTCATGTCTAAGACCCAGTTGCAGAGATTATACTTTTTTGCAGGTACTGAGGCTCTGCCAAGCTGACTTTGCTTTAATGCATTTTACTGTGAAAAAGAATCCCTTCTCCCAACACATAGGCCTTACTTTTCTTTTCTTTTTTTCTTTTTTTTTCTTACTTTTCTTTATTCCTGTAGGCTTCTTTGCACTTCAGCTCTGTTTCTTGTAAGCCCCGTGAAATTTAGTGATAGACCTTGGGAAAAGGAATATTCACATGAAACTTGGATTTAGATTCAGCTGGGAAAGTTGATTTTAGTTTTTATCTTTATTGTAAGGCATGAATGGGTCCAAGGAACCTCTTGTTCTATAATTTCATTTATCCATCATTTTCCCCATTATTTGACATTTTCTTACTCTGTTAATATATGTCAGGGTAGTTTTCATTAAACATAGGGCCTTACTGGCCATTTGCCAAGACACAAAAGTTCTAATTTAGCTTGAGGGATAACAGGTTACAGAGTAGCACCTGCTTTTATCTAGAGTTTAGTCCTAAGTGTGTCCAGTTCCCAGCATGTGCATATTTAGAATGGTTAAGATAACTTAAAAGCACAAGTTGGTAAATTTTTTTGTTCTTTCATCCAACAAATATTTATTGATTGCCTACTGTGTGCCAGGCATGATTCTAGGTGCTGAGGAGTAAACAAAACAGACAAAAGATCCCTCCCTTTGTGGAGCTTTTATCCTAGTAAGGAAAATTCAGATTTAAAATTTTAAGTAAGTGAATTACATAGTATCAGATGATGGTAAGTGCTGTAGAAAAAAAAATAAGGTAGGAGATGGGGGTTAAGAGTGCCAGAAAACCCACTACAAAGTTGACATATAAACAAAGTCCTGAAGAAAGAGAGAGGAAACCATGTATATACCTAGCAGGGAAAGCATCCCAGGAAGAGAGGTAAGCAAGTACAAACATCCAGAGGCAGGAACAAGGAAGCCTGTGTGGCTGGAGTGGAAAGTGGGGAGAGTAGTAGGAGAAGGCGTCAGAGAGGAAATGGGGGCCAGATTGTCTAGGGACCTGTAGGTCATAGTGAGGACTTAGTCTTTTATTCTGACTGATGAAAAGCCATTGGAGAGTTTCAAACAGGGGAGTGACATGATCTGATATATTTTTTAAAAATAGCTCAGCCTGCTGTGTTGAGAATAGGCAAGAGGGAGGTTAAAGGGCAGAAACAGAGAAACCAATTAGGAAGTTATTGTGGTAATCCAGGGAGACATTGTGATGGCCTGAACCAGGGAAGTAGCAAAGGAGGTCTTTAGAAGTGGTGAGTTATTGGGTATCTTTCGAAGGTAGAGTTAACAGGATTTCCCAGCGGGTTGGTTGTGGGGTTTTTGGCCTGAACAACTAGAAAGATGGAATAGCTATTTATTTTAAAGGGGTATGAATAAGAGAGGGGCAGGTTTGGAAAGGAAATCCAGGACCTTGATTTTTTATTTTATTTTATTTTTATTGTGGTAAATATACATAACATAAACTTACCGTTTAAACTATTTTTAACTGCACAATTCAGGGGTATTAAGTACATTCACGGTGTTGTGCAACTATTAAGTACATTCACAGTGTTGTGCAACCGTCATCTCCAGAAGTTTTCATCATCTCAAACAGAAACTTTGTACCCAGTGAATATTAACTCCTCTTTCCTCCTTCCCCCAGCCCCTAGTAACCTCTATTATACTTTCTTTCTGTATGAATTTATCTTTTTTTGCTTGTGAGATCTTAGTTCCCTGACCAGGGATTGAACACCAGCCCTGGCAGTGAAAGCACCAAGTCCTAACCACTGGACCACCAGGGAATTTCCGAATTTGTCTATTCTAAGCATCTCACATAAGTAGACTCATATAATATTTGTCCTTTTGTGTATGGTTTATTTCACTTAGCATAATTTTTCTAGGTTCATTCATGTTGTAGCATGTATCAGAATTTCATTCCTTTTTAAGGCTTAATAATATTCCATTGTATGTATATGCCATATTTTGTTTATCCATTTATCTATCATTAGACATTTGGATTGTGGAAACCACTGGCTATTGTGAATAATGCTGCAGTGAACATTGGTGTACAAATATCTGAATCCCTATTTTCAGTTCCTTTGAGTATATACCTAGAAGTAGAATTGCTGGATCATATGGTCATTCTACGGTTAACTTTTAAAAGAACCACCGAACTGTTTTTCACAGCAACTGCACCGTTTTACGTTCACACCAGCAATGCATGAGGGTTCCAGTTTCTTCACATCCTTACCCATGCTTGTTATTTTTCCTGTTTTTTATTTTCGTTTTGTTTTATAATAAGTCATTCTAGTGAGAGTAAAGTGGTATCTCATTGTGGTATTGATTTATATTTACAGAACCGTATTTTTTTCCTGTTTTATTGTGAAATAATTGCGTATAACATTGTATTAGTTTAAGGTTGTACAACATGAAGATTTGATATATGATCTATATATTGCAAAATGATTACCACAATAAGTTTAGTTAACATCCATCACCTCTCCTAGTTACAAATTCAGGACCTTAATTTTTAACTTTGAGACTGAAGGAAATAGCCAAGGTTGTGAATGTAGAGAGAGATGAGGTCTGAGGTTTGACTCTTGAAGTACTCCAGCATTTAAACGATGGGGAAATGAGGAGCAGTCAGTGAAGAAGCAACACCAGAAGGAGAATTGTATCCTGGAAGCAAAGTGAGGAATGTGTTCAAGAAGTAGGGAGAGAAGAATTCTGTCAAGTTCTACATAAATCAATTAAGATGAGAACTGAGAATTGATCGTTTGATTTGGCAGCATGGAAGTGAACGATAACCTTTACAAGAACAGTTTTGGTGGAGTGATGGGAGTGAAAGCCTCTCTATAGTGAATTCAAGAACAAATAGAAGGAGACAAATTTGAGGCAGAGTGTATAGATAATCTTTTAATGAATTTTGTTTTGAAAGGAATCTGAGAAATGGAGCAGCAGCTGGAGGGGAATGTGGGATCTGGGGAGTTTTTGTTTTATGGCAGACATTATAGAAAGTATGTTTGTTAATGGGATTGATCCAGTAGAGAGAGAACATTTATTGATGTGGAAGAAAGAGGAGTGAAATGGCTTGTAGTTTTGGAAAAGTGGAGCTGTGAAGTCCTGGCAGGTTTGTCCTCTGCCTTGACACTCTCTAAGACACAGAGAAGAGAGAGCAGGAAAATTGAAGTGATGTGAATGGTGACTGTTGCTGCTCTGGCCCCTGGAGAATTAGGTTTTATTTGTCGCAAAGCACCTCAACAGTAACAGCTGACCCTGCTTTTCTTTGCATTCTAAAGATCCAAAGGATAAGGAAAGAAGAAAGTTTCTCCTTCCATCTTTAGTCTTTATTTTCTACCATGAGCATTTTGAATGTTCATGTGAATATAATTGTGAGTGCCTGTGAATATAAATGTGGCTGATACTTGATATTAAGCTATGTTTTGTCAAAGTACATGCCACACCTGTCCCACACAGAAACCCATGGTATGTGGGCAGGACTAAAAGCCACTGTAAATCCCTTCTGTTTCTTCACAGCATTGGGACAGAGTAGTCAGTAAAGAAGTTGCCTGTTTATGCTTCCACTAGTTACAGAGACATTTGAATTTTCTGATTTATTTTACTGAAGCGTCCATTTTTACTTTAAAGCCTTTTATATCTTAGAGGACACATCTTAGCAGGTGAATAAGAGTGGAAAATAATTTCATACTTTTTAATTACTAGGAGAAAGGCTCCCCCGATGATGAAGTCTGACCCACAGCCATAGTCAGCTTTTGAGTCGTATTTATCCAACATGCTAAACACAGGACATCCCAAGATAGGAAATAATGAAGTACCTGGTCAGTTGGGCATTGCTAGAGAGCACTTACTGCCAACCCCAGTTGTTCCTTAAGTTGTGATTGTGTGGCCAGATAGTCTTGCTCTACGTTCTGTGTCTGTCTTTGCAGAAGGAGTAAAAGTCCTAAGTATTCACACAGATTTGTTTTGTGATATGCGATCCAAAGGAGGCTTCTAAATTATTTTCAGAATTGCTCTACCATTACCTTTTCACCCTAAGTGAGTCTGGAATGCATCCAGCAAAACAACTTTGGCATGTTCATACCTTTCAGAATGAATCATCTTCCTTCCCTTTAGTGAGAGGAGGGCTCTGTTGATTGTTTCTGGCAGAATTTCCACAAATGTTCTATTTTTCTTAAATCTTCCACTGTTTCACTTGAGCTGAACCTGGGGGTGCCTGATGTTCCTGAAGGAGACCTCTGAATCTCCCAACTCACAGTCACTTATATTGAAAGACTAGTCAGTTTTGATTCTCTGGGAAGATGTCAGGCATCTTTTTTGAAGAAGTTGCTTCCATTATAGGAAGTCACAGATGGTGGGCAAAAGACTGTATAAGAATACTGTGCTAAAGCCTGGGGAAAGTTGAAGGTTTGTTCTTGCTTACTGAGCATAATCCTCTTTACCTGACTGTGTAATGGAGAGTACTATTATCAGAATGTTGAGGTAGATTCTGGGACATCCTTTGATCTCTTTGAAATTCAAAATTTGTTCCAACTAGCCTGAACTTTTTATTTTTATATTTCACAGTATCCAGACATGAGTCAAGAATCTGATTCTCCATTTGTTTTCATCTGCACAAATCCCCAGGAAATGATTGTGAAGTTTCCTATTAAAGGAAGTCCAAAAATCTGTAAGTCACAAGCTTTGATGGTCTAATTTTTTTCTTTTTGTCTTGAATCTCACTTGTTTAACTTAAAAATTTTTTTCTCTTTTTATCCTGTTCTATGTCATCTCAAATATTTGGAGGATTAGTAAAATTCTACTTATCATATACCTGAAACTAACACAACATTGTTAATCAACTATACTTCAATAAAAAAATTCTATTTATCAATAACTTTAATGTTAACTACAGTATAGCCTTTCCAAAATATACCTCGATCCACAATTATTGGTATATGAGTGAATCACTCTAAACTTCCATTTAGGACCCCATTACCTTTAAAATCCTATTTGTCAGCCAAGAGTCCGTTTGCCCCACTGTACTGTTCTTATTAAAGGAAGTATTAAGCCAGTGCCAGTGGCAACATTGTCATTTATCCATTGTTCCTCAGTATTCAATCTGAGAATAAGACTTAACTTTTTAAGTGTCTATTTTTGAATGTCTATTTTGGAGGTACCACTTCCCACTATTCCCTTGATTACTGCTTCCTAGAGCTCTGCTCTAGCCCTCTTGCTTTTCATCCTCTTTTTGAAATCTCCTGATGGTTTTCTTTTCTGTAATGTTTGCTTTTATGTGTTTGTGATTATAGTACCCTCTGCATATTCACTTCTTAGGAGTGCTTGTGACTTGATTCTTTCAACTTCCAGCTCTTCTTCAACTCCCAACTCCTCTTCCTCTGTCTAGTGCTACAGCAGCCTCTTTTATTTCCAAGGAATCTCAAGAAACATATAGTGGTGTCCTCTTTGCCTAACTTCCCATTTTTTTAAAAAATAAATTTATTTATTTTGCGCTGTGCTGGGTCTTCATTGCTGTGCGCAGGCTTTCTCTAGTTGTAGCCAGCGGTGGCTACTTTTTGTTGCGGTGCACAAGCTTCTCATTGCGGTGGCTTCTCCTGTTGTAGAGCATGGGCTCTAGGCGCGTGGGCTTCAGTAGTCGTGGCTCGCGGGCTCTAGAGCGCAGGCTCAGTAGCTGTGGCACATGGGTTTAGTTGCTCAGTGGCATATGAGATCTTCCCGGACCAGGGATTGAACCTGTGTCCCCTGCATTGGCGGGAAGATTCTTAACCACTGTGCCACCAGGGCAGTCCCTAACTTCATTTTAAAAACAACATCAGCGGAGGAGCTTCAAGATGGTGGAAGAGTAAAACGTGGAGATCACTTCCCCACAAATACATCAGAAATACACCTACACATGGAACAACTCCTACAGAACACCCACTGAATGCTGGCAGAAGACCTCAGACCTCCCAAAAGGCAAGAAACTCCCCACGTACCTGGGTAGGGCAAAAGAAAAAAGAAAAAACAGACAAAAGAATAGGGACGAGACCTGCACCAGTGGGAGGGAGCTGTGAAGGAGGAAAGATTTCCACACACTAAGAAGCCCCTTCGCGGGCAGAGACTGTGGGTGGCGGAGGCGGGTAGCTTCGGAGCCATGGAGAAGAGCGCAGCAACAGGGGTGCAGCAGGGAAAGCAGAGATTCCCGCACAGAGGATCGGTGGCGACCAGCACTCACCAGCCCAGAGAGGCTTGTCTGCTCACCCGCCGGGACGGGCGGGGCTGGGAGCTGAGGCTCGGGCTTTGGAGGTCAGATCCCAGGGCGAGGACTGGGGTTGGCTGCGTGAACACAGCTTGAAGGGGCCTAGTGCACTGCGGCTAGTCGGGAGGGACTCCGGGAAAAAGTCTGGAGCTGCTGAAGAGACAAGAGACTTTTTCTTGCCTCTTTGTTTCCTGGTGCGCGATGAGAGGGGATTAAGAGCGCTGCTTAAAGGAGCTCCAGAGACGGGCGCGAGACCCCGGAGACGGGCATGAGACGCTAAGGCTGCTGCTGCAGCCACCAAGAAGCCTGTGTGCAAGCACAGGTCACTATCCACACCTCCCCTCCCAGGAGCCTGTGCAGCCCGCCACTGCCAGGGTCCCGTGATCCAGGGACAACTTCCCCAGGAGAACGGCACACCTCACGCTGGTGCAACGTCCCGCCGGCCTCTGCCGCTGCAGGCTTGCCCGGCATTCCGTACCCCTCCCTCCCCCCGGGCCTGAGTGAGCCAGAGCCCCCGAATCAGCTGCTCCTTTAACTTCGTACTGTCTGAGTGAAGAACAGACGCCCTCAGGCGACCTACATGCAGAGGCAGGTCCACATCCAAAGCTGAACCCCAGGAGCTGTGCGAACAAAGAAGAGAAAGGGAAATTTCTCCCAGCAGCTTCAGGAGCAGCGGATTAAATCTCCATAATCAACTTGATGTACCCTGCATCTGGGGAATGCCTGAGTAGACAACGAATCACCCCAAATTGAGGAGGTCGACTTTGGGAGCAACGATATATATATATTTTTCCCTTTTTCTCTTTTTGTGAGTGTGTATGTGTATGCTTCTGTGTGTGTTTTTGTCTGTATAGCTTTGCTTTTACCATTTGTCCTAGGGTTCTGTCTGTCCGTTTTTTGGGGTTTTTTAGTATAGTTTTTAGCACTTGTTATCATTGGTGGATTTGTTTTTTGGTTTGGTTGCTCTCTTCTTTCTTTCTTTCTTTTTTTCTCCCTTTTATTCTGAGCCGTGTGGATGACAGGCTCTTGGTGCTCCAGCCAGGCATCAGGGCTGTGCCTCTGAGGTGGGAGAGCCAAGTTCAAGACACTGGTCCACAAGAGACCTCCCAGCTCCACGTAATAATATCAAACGGCGAAAATCTCCCAGAGATTTCCATCTCAATGCCAAGACCCAGCTCCACTCAACGACCAGCAAGCTACAGTGCTGGACATCCTATTCCAAAAAACTAGCAAGACAGGAACACAACCCCACCCATTAGCAGAGAGGCTGCCTAAAATCATAATAAGGCCACAGACACCCCAAAACACACCACCAGACGTGGACCTGCCCACCAGAAAGACAAGGTCCAGTCTCATCCACCAGAACACAGGCACTAGTCCCTTCCACCAGGAAGCCTATACAACCCACTGAACCAACCTTAGCCACTGGGGACAAACACCAAAAGCAACGGGCACTACAAACCTGCAGCCTGCGAAAAGGAGACCCCAAACACAGTAAGTTAAGCAAAATGAGAAGACAGAGAAACACACAGCAGATGAAGGAGCAAGGCAAAAACCCACCAGACCTAACAAATGAAGAGGAAATAGGCAGTCTACCTGAAAAAGAATTCAGAATAATGATAGTAAAGATGATCCAAAATCTTGGAAACAGAATGGAGAAAATACAAGAAACGTTTAACCAGGAAGGACCTAGAAGAACTAAAGAGCAAACAAACAGTGATGAACAACACAATAAATGAAATTTAAAATTCTCCCGAAGTCAATAGCAAAATAACTGAGGCAGAAGAATGGATAAGTGACCTGGAAGATAAAATAGTGGAAATAACTACTGCAGAGCAGAATAAAGAAAAAAGAATGAAAAGAATTGAGGACAGTCTCAGAGACCTCTGTGACAACATTAAATGCACCAACATTCAAAGTATAGAGGTCCCAGAAGAAGAAGAGAAAAAGAAAGGGACTGAGAAAATATTTGAAGAGATTATAGTTGAAAATTTCCCTAATATGGGAAAGGAAATAGTTAATCAAGTCCAGGAAGCACAGAGTCCCATACAGGATAAATCCAAAGAGAAACATGCCAAGACACATATTAATCAAACTCAAAAATTAAATACAAAGAAAAAATATTAAAATCAGCAAGGGAAAAACAACAAATAACATACAAGGGCATCCCCATAAGGTTAACAGCTGATCTTTCAGCAGAAACTCTGCAAGCCAGAAGGGAGTGGCAGGACATATTTAAAGTGATGAAGGAGAAAAGCCTACAACCAAGCTTATTCTGCCCAGCAAGGATCTCATTCAGATTTGACGGAGAAATTAAAACCTTTACAGACAAGCAAAAGCTAAGAGAATTCAGCACCACCAAACCAGCTTTACAACAAATGCTAAAAGAACTTCTCTAGTCAGGAAACACAAGAGAAGGAAAAGACCTACTATAACAAACCCAAAACAATGAAGAAAATGGGAATAGGAACGTACATATCAATGATTACCTTAAATGTAAATGGATTAAATGCTCCAACCAAAAGACATAGACTGGCTGAATGGATCCAAAAACAAGACCCGTATATATGCTGTCTACAAGAGACCCACTTCAGACCTAGGGACACATACAGACTAAAAGTGAGGGGATGGAAAAAGATATTCCATGCAAATGGAAATCAAAAGAAAGCTGGAGTAACAATTCTCATATCAGACAAAATAGACTTTAAAACAAAGACTATTAGAAGAGACAAAGAAGGACACTACATAATGATCAAGGGGTCAATCCAAGAAGAAGATACAACAATTGTAAATATTTATGCGCCCAACATAGGAGTACCTCAGTACATAAGGCAAATACTAACATCCATAAAAGGGGAAATTGACAGTAACACAATCATAGTAGGGGACTTTAACACCCCACTTTCACGAGTGGACAGATCTTCCAAAATGAAAATAAATAAGGAAACACAAGCTTTAAATGATACATTAAACAAAATGGACTTAATTGATATTTATAGGACATTCCATCCAAAAACAACATAATACACATTCTTCTCAAGTGCTCATGGAACATTCTCCAGGATAGATCGTATCTTGGGTCACAAATCAAGCCTTGGTAAATTTAAGAAAATTGAAATCATATGAAATATCTTTTTGACCATGACGTTATGAGACTAGATATCAATTACAGGAAAAAAGCTGTAAAAAATACAAACACATGGAGGCTAAACAATACACTATTTAATAACCAAGAGATCACTGAAGAAATCAAAGAGGAAATCAAAAAATATCTAGAAACAAATGACAATGAAAACACAATGACCCAAAACCTATGGGATGCAGCAAAAGCAGTTCTAAGAGGGAAGTTTATAGCAATACAATGCTACCTTAAGAAACAAGAAATATCTCAAATAAACAACCTAACCTTACACCTAAAGCAATTAGAGAAA